ATGTTCACGAGGCACAAAATCTGTATTTATGAAGTAAAAACTGTTATTAACATTTAGAGTCGCCACTTATTTAATTATTTCTGTTTTGAGCCTGCAGCTCTACAAACACGAATGTTTCTGAGCTGGATCTTCCTGCAGCAGCTGCTTCAGAGTGAACTGGACCAGATGTTGACCGGTCCACCAGAACATCTGACTCTCTGGGTCAGGACCTGTGAAGGTGTCGGCTCCAAAGCTCAAACGAACAACTTCTAAAATACAAAATAAAACCAAAAAACTGTTTAAACTGGAAAAAACTACCGAGACCTACAGATTGGCCACAATGGATACAGGTGCTACTGTGTGGCTGTCTGTTAGCAAAATATCTCACGAACCACTGGAAGGACTTTAATGAAACTCTCAGAAATTTTTGGATGTTTGTTTTCAGTTGTGGAGTCAACCTGATTCAAGATGGCCACCCCAGCCAAGCTACCTTAGTGAACTTGAAACCTGCTCTAAATAAACCAGATTTACAGACACTGAGCTAAATGTCGGTGTGGTAGTAGCTGAGAGTCATTGCTAACTCGTACTTTGAGTGCCAAAAGATTAAACAATAACTTTGGTTAAAACTATCTATGGAGTCTCTGGCTAGTTTAAGATTCAATCAATCAATTCAACTTTATTGTCCATAACATTCAATGAAATGGAGATTTGTCTTTGACAGATTTTAGCTACTGTTCTGCTGGTCTTAGCTTTTAGCTACAGTTTTGTTAGTTTTAGCTTTTAGCAACTGTTCTATTTGTCTTAGCTTTAAGCTACAGTTTTGTTAGTTTTAGCTTTTAGCAACTGTTCTGCTGGTCTTAGCTTTTAGTCTTGTTTTGCTAGTTTAAGCTTTTAGTGATTATTCCATTTGTCTTAGCTTTTAGCTACTGTCTTAGCTAATATGAACTTTAAACTACTTTTCTGCTGGTTTTAGCTACCGTTTTGTTGGTTTGAGCTATTAGTTATTCATCCATCCATTATCTTTACCCGCTTCTTCCATTTTGGGTCACGGGGTCGCCAGTGCCCATGTCCAGCAATCGCAATTAGTTTTTATCTTAGCTAATTAGATTTTTTAGCTGCTGTTCTGCTGATTTTAGATTTTAGCTACCATTTTGCTGGTTTTAGCTTTTAGTATGGTATTGCTAGTTTCAGCTTTTAGTGACTATTCCATTTTGTCTTAGTTTTAGCTACTGTCAGCCAATTTGAACTTTTAACTAGTTTTCTGCTGGTTTTAAGTTTTATCTACTGTTTTGTTGGTTTTAGCTTTTGCAACTGTTCTGCTGTTCTTAGCTTTTAGCTATTATCTTAGCTAATTTGAACTTTTAACTACTGTTTTGTTGGTTTTAGCTTTTGCAACTGTTCTGCTGGTCTTAGCGTTTGGCTATTATCTTAGCTAATTTGAACTTTTAGCTACTATTCTGCTCGTTTTAGGTTTTAGCTACCATTTTGCTGGTTTTAGCTTTTAGTATGGTATTGCTAGTTTAAGCTTTTAGTGACTATTCCACTTTGTCTTAGCTACTATCTTAGCTAATTTGAACTTTTAGCTACTGTTCTGCTGGTTTTAAGTTTTAGTCTTGTTTTGATAGTTTAAGCTTTTAGTGACTATTCTGCGAGTCAGCTTTTAGCTAGT